AGTCCCCGAGCCGACAGCGCTTTGCGCCGTGCGAGGGTACTAATTCCCCCCCGCTATTTACACCCGGGGAAACGAAAGCATTAGCGAAGTCTAAAGTTCATCAATTATCGCGGGCGTGGGTCACCAACCATGGGTGGTCATCCTCACTGATCTCAAAAATATGGCGGACTGTCATGAATAGTGGACACTGATTGGCCAATTTAAAGTTGGCATTATAACGACTGTATGACGACAGCGAAATAGCAAACATTTCTTGATTTGATGATTGATAAATTTCTTGGAAATATATTTCACTTTTGCTTGCATTTTTGCAAGATTTTGTGAATTTCAAAAGTTTTCTCAAAATAAAAAATAGGTACGCAACATGTACATGTATCTGCGAAAAAACTTGATTCACATTTTCATCACTTATTATAATAAATATATAAATAGCAAATAAGATTTTAAAGTCAAACATAGTACAAATCTAACAATGCTGTAGACAGCACCACCCACAGAGGAAATAGGAAGTTAACCCCCCTACTCCCTTCGCATGTCCTAATACATTTACTATTATCAGAAACAATTTTTTCTCCCCCCCCTCTGGACGGCAGAAATTTACTCTGTGGGGGGAGTTCGGGTTTTTTCTGGAATGACCCATTGTAACTCGGAAAATTATGCGGTCAAAAAATAAAAATTTCATGCAAACAATATTCAAGTGTCCATTTAGTAAACTGTTACTTGTCAATCCATACCCATTTTCAAAACTTTATTGTAATCATATGAAGCAGAAGTTCTGTCACTTGTTGTTTACACTTACCAACATTAACTGTTGAGTAACATACACAAACTATTCAAGGAACATGCATCACTGTAGTGAAGAGTCAATCACATATAAAAGACTTGACCACTGAATAGTAGAGAATGTTTTGAAGGTCATGAATGAAGTATATAATTCAATTCCAATCCTTTGCACAGTTAATGATATACCACACTGTTCGGTTTAACACAGCATATCCACACAAAAACAATTTGTGTTGTGGGAGAATATCGGTTTGAGTAGAAGGTATCACAAGTTTAGTTTTGTACATATTGTGTGCCATTGATCTGATCCATCCATATAATATATGATTATTATAGCTGTTAAGTTATTATCCATACTAATGAATTTAGGTAATATTGTCTTGCAAGTGGGTTGTTCTGACAAAATTATCTAGCCCATATCCAGTACATTTATTCATCATTCTTGCATTAATCTCTAAACAAAAGCATTTATGTTAGAAAGCAAAATAGAGTGGGGATTCTTTTATTAGCATTTGAAACTGTTTGTAAAAATTTTGTTTAATTTATTTAATAATTATTATAAACTCTATTAAAATGTGTAAAACCAAAATGTATAAGTATTTTAACTGATAACATCGAACAGAGTTTAATACAGAAATACAGGACCAGGATTTAATGTGTCGTATCTGTATATGTGATACAGATTCATGTTGATTTACATAAACTTTAACTTTGATTTTCTCGGCTTACAACGTTTATTTTTAAAATTACTTCGCCAATGAACTCATATGTCTCATATTAAAGGCGAGTCGTTTTTTAAGTCATTTTTCGACTCGAGTTTGTATATCCGATACAACACGGCCGCTCATGTTGTAAATAGTACTTAAACAACACAATGATTGTTTTACTGTATAAATACATAATAAAATAATAAATATGCGGTATTTGACTACTTACCAGATGAGGATAAGTTTCCATGTCGATAAATAACTTCGGAATAATAGCGCAAACAAGACAAAATCAAGATATTTCTGAAGCCAAAATGTGAAAATGGCAAAGAATAACACGAGGCCAAACGCCGCCCGTTCGCAGGTTAAGATGCGGGCACGATGTAAACAATCGATGTAAACTAATCGTTGATTGGCTTAAATTATCATGAATTGGCTTAAATTATATAAGCTCGTCGCTGAATGGCTATGTGCTAACATACGCTAACAGTACGGTCACGTTTGCGATAGCAATATATCTGCTTCGCAGATACAAAACAACGCGCTGTTTAGGAAAAACCGGAAATCGATTCTGTAGGTCGGCATGATTTGCACGTGCATCAATCGAGCTATAAACGTGCGTGCGAGTAAAAACCCGATATTTTGAAAAATTCAAAATAAATATTCCTACTCTGTGCCGTATTCAAACGAAACTTTGTATATGAAAGCGCTTGAATACAAGATGTATTTTACTCACATTGACTCTGAGCAAATTCTGAAGAGTCACTAAAGAATACTAAAGCAGGGTGCATTGCCTGTTAATGGGTTAATAAGAGACATTGGCAGATGTGTTTGTTAACCCATTTACTGATAGTACTCTGCCACTAACAAGTAAAATCGTCTGGCGTTACAGTGTAAATTGGTCTGGCGTTAGCCAGAGTTAATACTAAAGTAGTGTGCATTGGCAGGTAATAGGTAATAGACCTTAATATCCACTTTTGACCCAATGGCTTCATTTTCATGTTGGCTATTTACTCGTATTCCGTGCACACAATTTAAGAATGAGTTTGTGAACGGGCTTAAATGATGAACGAGAAGGAAACATTGGGGATATAACCGAGAATTGTCTAGAAGTATAAATTTTTGCATTCAGTTCATACGCCATAAAGGCAGCACTTTCCTTGCGATAGTAACTCCTAGTAATAGATTTGCACCATTACGTCTCCCGAAAAGGTCTTTTATTTTTTTAAAAAGTCCATAAAATTTGCTTGCGGTTTAAGATTTGTATTCCTGCCTTTTGCACCATAGCACGTATCTCGTTATTTTCAGGCCAGTGTGAACGCCTGAGCAGGCGTCTTGTTTGCAATAAGAAGGAATTTCTGTCTGTGAACTGGACCGGATTCGAATTTAGTAAGCTTTTCATATATATAGTTAATGTGCATGGGTTTCCCTTTCTTGCAGCTGTACTGTTATAGCACCAATTTAAATTGGTCATTTTAACCAATTGAAGAATTATATATATATATATATATATATATATATATATATATATATATATATATATATATATATATATATATATATATATATATATATATATATATTGTATTGTTTTGTATTGTATTTAATTATATTTAAACCCGATAACCTATATATTCAATGATATTGATTTTCATAGGGCCGTGTAATATTTGCAAGTAAGAAAATAGAATTATAATATTTTATACAATTTATCGTTTAGATGTTGATTCCAGGTCTTAGCCCCCATATAACTAAAATTTCTCTTCATAGAGTTTGTATTTGTTTTTGACAGTCTTAGAAATTTGCCATTACTTCTTAAATTATAATTATACTTAAAATATCACTTTTAATTACAAAACTTTCAATTTCCAAAACATATATATGTTAAGTATGCCGATATACGTAATATAAGTTTCAATTTAAGGTAAAATGTTACCTTCGCAAGACGTTTTAAAATGTTCTTTAGAAAACTAAACTGCCTTAAAAGGCTTCATCGAAAAACGTTGAGTTTGAAATAAAATTATTTCAAATTCTCGCATTCAAATAACTTTGCTTTCTTTTTTATTTGGATTTATGAAATAAATAATATTAATAACGAGCTGAGTTGTTGTGCCTGTTATCAGAATAGGGGCCCCAGGGGCCACAAGCGGCCCAATCTCGCAAGGGTCAGTATAGACTTAATATACTGTGGTATAAATGTATATTATAGTAGTGTATATTTAAGTAAAAATATGTCATAAAATATAAATTTTAAAACGAAATTGACTTGCTTATTTGATAATGTGTTCTCCTTTTATTCCTCCTTTGTTGGACTAATATTTTCCGAGACCTTGTACTTGATGTTACTAGTATACATGAAACATGATAAAGGCTAACGATTCCCGATCGTCGATACGACGGCACGGCACTTCGAATCGAAAATTCTCACACTTAAATCGCTTTATTCCCCAAATAAATTCGCCGACATGTACAACAGATGCCGTTCTTCGAAAATACGGAGATACTTCGGAGAGATGTACAAGTTTTGGACCACATTTTAACAATGGAAATCAAAACCCATTTTATATTGAACTTGCCCAGGCCGAAAATTACTACGGCGAACGTCTGCGCAACCAGGCCTCCTTTACCGTTGGATTTACAGGGGGGGAGGATGCCACTAATATATTCACGATAATATTTTGAATTAAAGTATCATATTCTACCATACTTTCCAACAAAGAGCCGCTGTATGTTACTTCTTCCTTAAATTTCTTCAATCTCCGTCGTTTAATTTTCTTTTCTTCGACAACATCTCGAGTTTTATACAGTATCCGATCGAAGGAGTTTTTATTTTGAATATCAAATTTCAGATAATGTAAACAGTTGCTACGCGGCCGCGATTGGCTGGCTGTTACCGGAAATATCTGCTTTCCCCCCTGTAAATCCAACGGTAAAGGAGGCCTGGTTGCGCAGACGTTCGCCGTAGTAATTTTCGGTCCGGGTAAGTTCAATATAAAATGGGTTTTGATTTCCATTGTTAAAATATGGTCGAAAACTTGTACATCTCGCCGAAATACCTCTGTATTTTCGAAGAACGGCATTTGTTGTACATGCTGGCGAATTGTTTTGGAGAATAAAGCGATTTGAGTGTGAGAATTTTGGATTCGAAGTGCCGTGCCGTCGTATCGACGATCGGGAATCGTTAGCCTTTATCATGTTTCATGTATACTAGTAACATCGAGTACAAAGTCTTGGAAAATATTAGTCCAACAAAGGAGGAATAAAAGGAGAACACACACTATCAAATAGGCAAGTCAATTTCATTTTAAAATTTATATTTTACGACATATTTTTACTATAGTATACATTAATATAATATACATTCATACTATATAAAGTCTATACTGACCCTTGCGAGATTGGGCCGCCTGTGGTTCGATCAACCATCGAGGGTGTTAAAACATGTTTTAGACTTTCATTTTCAGGCGTACTTGAGTATCCTGGGGTGAATTCAATATCAATTAATATCTTCTTCCGTCCATTTGCATCGAAAAATATTGAGAAATTGCAAACGAATATCAATGGATACGAGCTATCTAATTATAAATATCCTCTTAATTGCAACATTTCTTTATAAAAATGACTCTATTGAACTTCGATACTCAGATTATGAAGATTCATTTCAACTTCTTTCACATTTCCGTCGATTTCAAGCTTAAAAAAAGGTCAAACAGCTACTTTGGTTCAAAAACCATACTTCGTCGCATTATCTGGCAGAGCCTCCCCAACTTCACTTCAATCTTCCCATCACACCGCGCGAGCCCATTTTTATTCAGGAAACTTCATGTAAGTTATTTGTAAATACTTAAGGAGGCTCTGCGGAGGAAAGAGGGCAATGACTAAAACCCGTGAGGAATCAGTTGAAAGAAAGAGTTAAACAGCAGGGGTATACATACATATATACTTAAGGGCTGATTACATGGAGAGTTTTCAGCCCGGACTGAGTTTCAGCCCGGTTAAACGAGCTGAAATTGCATCACGACTACATGAGCAATTTCAACCCGGGCTGAGTTTAGTCAGAGCTATATTTATAATCAACGTTAACCTGGGCTGAAATGTCAGCCCGGGCTGAAATAATCTGAGTGTCACGAAATAGGACAATAAGCCTGTTACGCTTCTTTGAATCAATCAGACGCTGATTAGTCGACTATTTGACTTGTGTGAGACTATATGTAAAGTATTTAAAGACCAAATAAACGGCGCAAAATAAACTAGCCATGTAAACTGTTGTTTTTTTAGCCCTGAAATTATTTGCGATTACATATTGCCGGCCTGAGTTTCAGCCCGGGCAGCTCAAACCGGGCTGAAACTCAGCCCGGGCTGGAATTTTAGTCATGTATTGTTTCGTTAGACACTCACGACGTAACAATTGCATAATTAATTTACGTACATTTTAATATATTAGTTCTGTTAGTTTAAATTAGTTTTGTGACAATGACATATCTTGTCAGTTTTGACATTTACATAAATTGCATGTTCAAGATTATTGTTAATTGAGATAAGGAACTGCGGTCGAAAGGACCTACTGAAACGTGAAAAGGCTAACCTGTTGTAATATTGTATTCTGTTTATTCTGCTAACCTGTATTTTGAACTGTTTGAATGTAGTCCTAGTGACCCGCCAAAGAAGTAAGTGACATTTATAGAACTCAATGATTTGCTATATGAATTTGTGGTATGTATAGAAGTACACTTTTATAATATATTATTACTCTTTACTTATAATTATTTTGTATATAACTTTAATAGATCGAATAGTATTCCGTACAAGTATCAATATCAGTGTCAGTTTGTATAATAAATATTCAAAACTAACAGTGGCGCCGGCAAGGGGGGGCGAGGGGGGGCAGCCGCCCCCCCAATATTCTCCAGAGTGGGTTTTTGGATTTGTCCAAATCCGATGTCGTAGGGGGGGGGGGGTGCGGTGTGTAAATATTTGGTTGTAAAGTGTACAGTGGCGTAGCTAGCGAAATTTGACTAGTCCTGCTCTGAAACCCACGCATTCTAGGGGGGTCCGGGGGCATGCTCCCCCGGGAAATTTTTAATTTTAGAAGTCTGGAATGGCCATTTCGTGCGATTTCACGGCGAAATACTCCAAAGGGAAAATCAAAAAATTGCGTGATTAGCGGAAAATTTTTGATAATTTTTTTAGAAAAAAAATTTATAACTTTTTCAAACCATGCATTTTTTATCATATTTCTCTATATATTTTTCAACTTAACTGAAAATGTAGCTAAATATAGTCAAGTCACGAAAGTGGAAAATATCATGTATACAATACGCGTCTGTAATACGATCTTTCACTTGATCAACACAATCCAACCTCACATAATCAACAATTGCATAACTATTATACTGTTGAACACGGCGTTTTATATACACTATAACACTCCGGCTAGCATTCGTTAAAAATTCACTACGTTTGTTAGTAATGTGACAGATCACTACGCCTGGCACTCTGAATGTAATTCAGTACACTATGCCTATGGTATTAATAATACCGTAGGCCCGTATTAATAATATAGCGTTTAATATAGTCTATGCGGCCAAATATCTACATAAACAGTGTGAATTGGTACAGTATATCATTTTTAAAATTAAACTCCATATAGTGCTCGTTTCAAATGCACAAAGCAGATGAACTGGCAGTAAATATTACGTTCTTACTTTATATCAATACGACAGGCTTCACAAATGAAGTTTGTATTCCCCATTTAATATATTGTATTATAAAAATACAGAATCATCAGTCGAGTCTGTTCACATGCATTTCGTGAGCTAAAATATCTTAGCAGAAGCCAGAAATTATATCAAAATCACATTGGGCTTCCACACTCGTTGATTTCCATATTCATAACTTGAGTACTCTCGACAGAATTAGTAAATAGTGGGTTTAGTCACGCGGAAAGCTCGCAAGTAAAGACAATACAAGGCCAAGTCCTGCCATTTCGAGAGAGCAGGACTTCGCATTTGTAAACAGTCGGTTTGAGCATGCGCAGACCTAATTATCCAATCAGAAACCAAGATTTCTTTTATAAATTTACTATGAAATATACTAGCAAGTCCTGCCATTTGAAAATGGCAGGACTGAAATACGAGTCGCGTGTAAATCAATGTAGAGTTGCAGTTGCTAGGTAATAGACACGGCAAGCTGTAAAATTGCGTAAATATAACAGAATGCGAAAAACTTTTAAAAAAATAATAACGAAAAAGACGAGAAAATGAGACAAAATAACAATATGATAATGATAAATTTTTAAAGCTTCAAGATAAATAAAGCAATGCTTTAGTACGGAAATTTGGGGAAATTTTTAGTCCTGCTGGGCAGGACAAGCAGGACCGCTAGCTACGCCACTGAAAGTGTACGGTTGCGTGTAATGGCCAAGGAAACGAAAGAACGAAAGCCGATTTATACCGCGAACTTCTTCAAGAACCCGAATGCTTCCCGAATTTGTCAAAAATTATTAAGATTGCCCTTACTCTCTCTTTGACATCAGCATCTGCTGAGAGATCATTTTCCAAGCTGAAAATAATAAAAAATCGCCTGAGGTCGACGATGAGGCAAGATCGACTAGAATCGCTGATGCTCATGTCCGTGGAATCTGACATTTGTCGGAACCTCGACATCGAAGGACTCGTTGAACGATTTACCGACGCAGCTCCCCGAAGCTAAGATGTAACTTGTACTAAATATGTATTATAACATTAAATTATTCAATTCATTCTTGGTTTTATTAAAAATACATTTGGTTCATATATTGTATGGAAATCACTTATGTTCCGATCTACTAAAAAATTGATTTATTAAAACCTTTATGTTTCTCTTAAAGTGCCTCCAAAACGCAGGAAATGCGGTTTTAGACACCCAAAATTCAAAATTTTCTCGGGGGGCATACCCCCGAACCCCCCTGGTAGGCTCGTGCCTTTGGCACTCGAATGATTCCCCCCCCCCAAAAAAAAAAAATCCTGCCGGCGCCACTGTGTGTAATTCATATTGTTCTTCACCGAGTATTTCATAATAGCGATTTGATTTCATGCAAACAATCCGATAAAATGCTGGTTCCAAGAAGAATAGATTTAGTTTAGATTTTTAACTGTTAAATACATGTATTCATCATCATAGCATGAATATTTCTTCTCAGATTTATTCTGTATCGTATGAAAAAGCAACGCAATTTTGAGAATGCGGAAATGGTGTATTATAACATTGTGTATTATAACATATATTATAACATTAATTCCGAGTACAAATGTCTGGAAAAATTCATGTCTTCGATGTACTTTATAATCTTCGGAACTCTTCGGAATTTCACTCCCAAAATGCTTGAAATCGCAATTCAGGGACCCTAGATTTCAAAATTTTCCCGGGTGTGCATACCCCCGGACCCTCCTAGACGGTCTCAAAAGTTCGCCCCCAAAAAAATTAAGGTCTGGCCAACCTCGTTCCCAGGGTATTTGCTCTTGGGAAGCAAAGACCCTGGTGGACGCTGGTCACGTGATCTGCTAAAATCTAGCAGATTTTTAATTAGCGTTGTTTTGTCAATCTGGGAGGGGTGGGATTGTAGTAGTTGACATTCGCTAGATGCATTAGTGCTGTATACTTCACTTCACATGTATTAATAAACATGATTTATACTTTTCTAAATTCGTACTCATCATGACAAGATTTCCTGCTACATTGAATGTCATCAGTAATAAGTGCTGCAGTACATTTCAAGCGAGAAGCTGGATCATATTTCACTTGCAAGGAAAAATATACTCCACACGCGCCTGGCTAGTGAGCACGCATCAGATTGCCGTATAAACATACATATCTGATATCTTCTACACCGACTGATCGATCAAACGGTATTTATATAAAACGAACGATATGATATGGTTGTTTATAGTTGAAATGTATCCTGTCCGATATTTAAAACAAAGGATTTATTTTATAACGGGATCCTTTGATTTCCCAACTGAAGTACTGAACATCGCCAACTGTGTATATAAAGCAATAGTGCTGTTTTGACTGTGAATTACAGTAAGCACAGGATTAAACCCGTTATTCCTTTTATTTACATTGCTGAAACAGCTCAACGATCAAGAATGATATATGTCGAAGTACAGCTACAGCTACAGTATACTGTTATCACACGCCAAGACTCCTCGGTGCGTGCGGTACAACTTGAATATCTAGGACGATATATGCACTAGACTAAATTATATCATATATTGCAGTAAACATTATAAATCTTATAAAGACCTTTCATTGGCATTGGTATTAATGCCCAGGCATTATTTGAAGAATAATCCAACTTAAAATCCAGCTTCTTTCGACTTGTATAATGCCGCTGTGAGTCATCAATATTTAAATCAACTTTAAGTCTTTAATCTTTATCGTATATACCCCTATACTGTGTCGTAACTGTAATTGAAATTTTAGATGTTTCACCAAACGATACTTCGTAACTGTAAGCAAACAACCTATCTATCAGTACAGTATCAATAGAAACTTTAAAAGGCTTAATGAAACTCATTAAGTAATTCTATGAGCGAGACTTGGTGCGCATATACAGTTTATGAATTATGTATATATAAATATATATATCCCTGATAAAACGTATAGGGACACTTCGTACCAGATATAATAACAAATACTTTGCTAAATCTTTTCGGATATCATTCCTTTGCATTCAGGGTGGGAGGGTGAATGGCGATAGCTATAATTTATTATAGGAGATTCTGTGCAATATTTTGGCTCAACAAACAGGTAGTCGTGAAGACAAAAAAGTGCACTGTCGAGTGTCGATTCCAAACAATTTTGTCAGTCGCTTTTGATACCTCTATTTTACAAAATTAATACCGTTTCCTTTCTATATGACAACAATTCAATGGCATATTATAAGAATATTGTAAATATCTGAACCAGAGGCAGAGCCAGGACATAAACGTACGTATGAAATGAAAATATTGCGCCCGAACCCCGAGAGAATATTAAAAACGCAAATATTTCAAACCATACGGTCATACGTTTTCGTTGCTTGATTTGCTGACTTGTCTGTTAGTACACGAATCTCCATTTTACCATGTTTGTATAATTTAAAACGGCAAACAGAAACCAATTTAGCAAGAATTTTGAAGAATATATGATTCTCAAAGATTATTGTACAGCACGGCCACTCCTTGCAATCGAAGTGTGAAGTGCGGAAGTGGAAACATGTAATATGAGACCTTTCCATCCCCCTCTGAGGCAATCAATTTTCTATGGGTCACGTGACCAGCGTCCACCAGGGTCTTTGCTTCCCAAGAGCAAATACCCTGGGAACGAGGTTGAGGTGTCCTTCGTTTGAGTAAAAGGCACATATTTGAGTACAGTACATATCTGAAACGTTTGAAACAAGAAAGAATGGTTTTTGAATGTCAGAGGGATTCTTATAAAAGTGAGTTTACAACGAAGGTTGTTTCCTGTGAGGAATGTGGGCCAAAAGAATATGAGATTGTTTTGGAGGACACAATATTGTTTCCAGAAGGTGGTGGACAAGTGAGTTTCTTTGATTATAGCCTGTTTATATGAAACCAAGGTGGGCTAGACTGCAGTTTAGCGGAAACCAGTGTGTCGCTTAATGCAAACTTTGTCGGGAAAATGCAACAGTGAGGTGAAGATGTAAAAAATTGAAATAATAATTAGGTTTATGTTATGCACCTATCAATATTAATCCGGGGTAAGGGTGCGGCAATGGGTGGTGATTTGACAAAAAAATTAAAAATTGGGTCAAATGCCTGCTGGTGGGGCATTCTAAGATAATCAAATGTTTCAAAATCAAAACAAAGTGAACGCACCCAGGGGATAGATCGAGGCAAAATATTTTAACATTTAATATAAAAGAGCCACAAAAAGCTTCTGGACATCGTAAATTTTATCTCCAGAATCCAGACTATGTACTGTATTCAAATTCCAAAAGGCCAGAAGACAGAAGGAGATATAAAAAATAAAAAGTTTCCGGACTTCTGGTTTTCTTGATTCTAGGTTCCAGGCTTTGTACTGAAATCGCATGTTGAATTATATGTCGAATGGCAAATCGCCCGCACCCGGGCAAAAAACTTTGTCAAATGCCCGTCTGTGGGGATAGAATTCATGATCAAATCCCCACCCATTGCCCGCACCCTTACCCCCGGGATTAATATTGATAGGTGCATTACGTTGGGGTTGTTTCCCACCAGAACATGTAGTTAACAAACCAGATGCATTTACTGTACCACTTGGACTGTGACATGCTGGTGTTGTCCCTAAACTGCAGTTGTACTTGAAGGTAAATGAGATGAAATTTGACTGTGTTTATATATATGAGGAAATTTCATTCTGTTTACAAAGACGATAAATTTGGTTGTTTTGACCAGTTTATCATCAGTGGCAGCAGAAAAAACTTGTGCGGGCGGGTGGATTTATTTTTTATTTTTTAATGATTCACATTTAGTAGGTCACACATGTGACCAGAGGCTCTTCCTTCTCACCTTTCGTTTCTTTCGCCTCACAAAGAGCCTCTGGATCCAGGGTAGCAGCACAGTTGTATGGTATAATATTTTCAATAATATTTTCAATAAAAAGGAGCTGTGTTTCTACACGTTTTCAAAATGGCTGACCATTGTGAAAATCTTGTGTGGGTTCCTCGCACGGTCCGCCAGAATAGTGATTTTTTAAAAATAAAAAAAATCCACGTGGCACGAAAAATGGATGCGGGCGCTGATGATAAACCGGCATATTTTTTTACATGGCCTAAGGACTGGTTTATACAGCAGCATGCTATGAGTGTACTGAACCTATTACTTAGCTAATAGACCTTCATAATGACATCAAACATAGAGAAATAATTTATGTAAATATGTCCCATGGGACAATTAAATGCAAGTCATTGCCAAGCCAATCAAATTTCATGTAACATCAACGTATCGGAACCAGAAAGGTGGTGGATTGTACTTATTCAAGCTATTGTTTTCTCTTGTAATCGCTGCATTACAATCTCAGCTACGATCAAAACTGTGGAACCATGAAGCTGTACATGCCATGGGTTCCCCAGTTTTGTTAGTCATAGCTGAGATTGTAATGCAGCGATTAGAAGAGAAAGCTACTTACCCCAATCCACCACATTGATGACACACTGACTGGTGCAGATGATGACACACTGACTGGTGTAGATGATGGCACACAGACTGGTGTAGATGATGACACACTGACTGGTGTAGATGATGACACACTGACTGGTGTAGATGATGGCACACTGACTGGTGTAGATGATGGCACACTGACTGGTGTAGATGATGACACACTGACTGGTGTAGATGATGACACACTGACTGGTGTAGATAATGACACACTGACTGGTGTAGATGATGACACACTGACTGATGTAGATGACGACACATTGACTGGTGTAGATAATGACACACTGACTGGTGTAGATGATGACACACTGACTGGTGTAGATGATGGCACTGACTGGTGTAGATGATGACACACTGACTGGTGTAGATGATGACACACTGACTGGTGTAGATGATGACACACTGACTGGTGTAGATGATGACACACTGACTGGTGTAGATGATGACACACTGACTGGTGTAGATGATGACACACTGACTGGTGTAGATGATGACACACTGACTGGTGTAGATGATGGCACACTGACTGGTGTAGATGATGGCACACTGACTGGTGTAGATGATGACACACTAACTGGTGTAGATGATGACACATTGACTGGTGTAGATAATGACACACTGACTGGTGTAGATGATGACACACTGACTGGTGTAGATGATGACACACTGACTGGTGTAGATGATGGCACACTGACTGGTGTAGATGATGGCACACTGACTGATGTAGATGATGACACACTGACTGGTGCAGATGATGACACACTGACTGGTGTAGATGATGACACACTGACTGGTGTAGATGATGGCATACTGACTGGTGTAGATGATGACACACTGACTGGTGTAGATAATGACACACTGACTGGTGATCTTACCCAAGATCTTACCAAGATCATGCCAAGATCTTACATAAATCCTGCAAGATCATGGAAAGATATTGCATGATCTTGCAAGATCTTTCCAAGTTCTTGCAGGATCTTACCTAAGATATCTTGCACGATCTTGCCAAGACCCTGCAAGATCTTGCCAAACACCATAATGGCAAGATCTTGCAAGATCCTGCAAGATCTTTCCATGATCTTGCAGGATTTATGTAAGATCTTGGCATGATCTTGGTACAAATCCTGCAAGATCTTGCCATGATTCTCCAAGATCTTACCACAAATTCTGCAAGATCTTGCCATGATCTTGCCAAAAATCCTGCGAGATCTTGCCATGATCCTCCAAGATCTTACCAAAATCCAGCAAGATCTTGCCATGATCCTCCAAGATCTTACCAAAAATCCTGCGAGATCTTGCGATGATCCTCCAATATCTTACCAAAATCCAGCAAGATCTTGCCATGACCCTACAAGATTTTACCAAGTTCGTGGCAAGAACACATGTCAGATACAGAATGAAGAGGCTCTACATGAAATATACTATTTTCTGGATATAACTTTGATTGAATTTATCAAATTAACGTAAAAGCTAGTGTACAATATTGCCATAAATTCAGTGTCGGTCTTTATTAAATTGTAATCAATTAGTTCATCCAAATTATAATACTCAAGCTTTTACCCGGTTTAGTTTGCATAGTAAACGTAGTAAATTAGGCCAATAATGTTGGTAAAATATTATCAATATCTATGGCGATTGAAATAAAGTCCGAATGAAAGTTCCACCTTGCTCAATATTTAAGAGAAAACAAAAGGAATCTTGTCTGTTCTTAATAATGTTGTTCTTAATAATGTTGTTCTAAAGAATTGAGTTTCAAGATGGAACTTTTATTCGGAGGTTGTTTCATACTTTACTTCATGAAATAATATTAGCATTGATACCATTGTTATTGCAAGTTCTTCGATTTTGTTTTTCTTCGCATATCGCGGCACTTTTGAATTTTGATTGCACGCATCCACGATAATTTGGTGTGTTTTCTGTACTTTTTCTTCGCCATACTTGGCGTTGAGGACAGCTATATCGTAAAAAAAGACTGTGTTAAAAAAGAAAGACTATTTGCAGTAAGTCTATTTTTTTTATTTAAGTTCATTTCAATGTTTCCCCGAAACACATTGCCATTGGCAAAGAAAACTAGTACTTTTAATTAACACATACTGTGGCAACTTAGTCTTGAGTTTGTATATCTGTTCACAGCTGGCCAGTTAATTTTTCTTCAAGTCAAATCACATATATTATTCTTACCAAACAATTTAGTGACCCTGTCGGGATCTAGTACTGGTTTTGGAGATCTTTTCGACTGGAATAGTATTCCATCCTGGAGCTCTTCCGATGAAAATAGGAAGTCCAATAATTTGATTGCACATTTTGATGGCCCTTTTGGCGGTGCATTTACCGTCATCAAATTAATGTCATTGTGCCACTAAAATGAATTAACAATACTTAATATTAAATCACTGTAGTTGAATTCAAATGCACAATGATTTACAGAACAAATTAACACGCACGGTTGGCCAAAATTAAGCGACCTTGCCCTTTACTAATTTACCCTTATACACTATGACTATGTTTCCCCTCCATCTTCCTTAATTGGCATGTTGAAGCTTTTTAAGTAAAAACGATAAATTACACATGTATACACTCATACTGTACTATCTCGATCTCTGTAGTTTCTTTTTGGCCATAGCTTTATCATTTGGGGATGCTTCACCATGTTTTCCTAAATAATATTCGAAATAACAAATTTTGAATAATATACATGTTGAATAATCATAGCTCAAACCAAGTATTTTATATGAAAGACCTCTATATTTTATCCTAGCTTTTATACTGGTTGGCATAATGAAACTTAACTCGCTAATGAAGCTCACATTTACACCGTAGTGTGAAATTGCGTGTTCCTATACGGTGCATTTACGATGTTTGCGCACGGACCTGTCATCACTACAGTTATCAGGACATTTCAGCAGCGCAAAAGCTGTATAATAAGACTAATAAATATAAGATTGTGTGAATATAATAATTTGTGGTCCCAGGGGTATTCTCAACGGCTTTGTCATTCTTAACAAAACGTTAAACTAGGCCGATTATCACGTTTTTCAAGCAACGTAAAAGCTTATTGCGACCCATGAAGAGGTGTTATTTAAAGTCGAAATTACAGCAAGCATTACATCGCTTTAGCCGATTAACTTAGCCGTTTGTAAGGTTATTTGAAAATGCTTGAAACATTTATTACATGTAATCAAATTGCTTAGCGCTCATTCATTCAATATACAAATAATTTGTTGCCGCTGGGTACAAAATAGGTTGTAAGCACTTACTTCTTATTTAAGACAGCTCGACAAGTTATCCTTTCTTTAGTGCAGCAACAAAGTCGAGGAACAGAAGTATAAACTGCCGTGTACCTTGTATGTTTGACTTATAAAACGCGCCTTTGGGCATTTACCAACGGTTGTCTACAACAAATAAGCGAAAAATGCGCGGATAACAAGATTTACAGATATTGATTAATCCCATTTCAATCATTTGGATCTGGTACGCAAAGGTGCGAGAGCAATCTGTGCGCGTAAAAGCCTCCTTTCACAAGGATCTTTTAAAATCATGGCATTTTTGGTATGATCATGGTAAAATCATGACAAGAGATTGTGTCAAGAACTTCCAAGATCAAGATGGATAAGATCTTGGTAAGATCATGCTGGGATCATGGCAAGATCATGGTGAGATCTTGACAAGATCTTCCAAGACCATGGCAATATTATAATAGAATCTTGGCAAGATTGTGATAAGATCTTAGCAAGGATCATGATGGGATCTTGACAGGATCCTCCAAGATCATGGCAAGATTACAATAGGATCTTGGCAAGATTTAAGATATTGGCAAGATCATGCTGAGATCTTGGCAAGATCATGATTAGATCTTGTCAAGATCTTCCAAGACCATGGCAAGATTATAATAGAATCTTGGCAAGATTGTGATAAGATCTTAGCAAGGATCATGATGGGATCTTGACAAGATCCTCCAAGATCATGGCAAGATTACAATAGGATCTTGGCAAGATTTTGGCAAGATATTGGCAAGATCATGGTGGGATCGTGACAAGATCTTCCAAGATCATGGCAAGATCATGATAGGGTATTGGCAATATTATGATATATGTGATTGGTTTGATCAAGGTTCATTATACCTATACTTATGAAGGTCGAAACATACAGCTCAGCAAGAAAAATGTATGAAGAAAAATCGTGAAAGATCTTGGCAAGATCTTGACAAGAATTTCAGACAATCTTGGCAAGATTCTGGCAAGATTGAATAATCGTGGCAAGATATTGGTCAAGATTAGTGTCTTGCCAAAACCTTGCCATGATCTTCCAAGATCATGCAAGATCTTACAAGATCTTGCCAAGATCTTCAACCTGACTGACTGGTGTAGATGATGACACACTGACTGGTGTAGATAATGACACACTGACTGGTGTAGATGATGGTCAACACACTGACTGGTGTAGATAATGACACACTGACTGGTGTAGATGATGAGTTGATGACACACTGACTGGTGTAGATGATGGTCAACACACTGACTGGTGTAGATGATGGTCAACACACTGACTGGTGTAGATAATGACACACTAACTGGTGTAGATAATGACACACTGACTGGTGTAGATGATGACACACTGACTGGTGTAGATAATGACACACTGACTGGTGTAGATGATCTGATGATGACACACTGACTGGTGTAGATGATGACACACTGACTGGTGTAGATGAAAGATAGCATTCCTGGACTGTTTAATAACTAGAACTGGCAATGCCCTTCAAACGAGCATGTATAGGAAAGCTTCCAGTAATGACAACCTCGTTCCCAGGGTCTCTCCGTCTGTCATCTGGGAAAGACCCTGGCTGCGGCTGGTCACGTGCCTCCCAGATTCTGGGAGGTAAATTTAATTGTAACTGTGAGAGGGGTGGGAAAGGAGCGTGTTTGTAGCGTTTTAAAATTGCAACTTTGAGTGATGAAATTTACTGTAAATTTGCAACAAGAAATCGTAATTATAAAGAGAACTCTTGAATTAATATTTATGTCGTGACGTTCTACTCTATAATCTGGTGTCGAGTTACAATTCAAGCAAGTTGGATCAGATTTCATTATAGACTTGCCAAAGAAAGCACGCTTGCCGCTTGTGCAGCGTGGCAATATTAAACTGTGATTAAACCTACAAGAAAATATATATATCTCTAGACCGAACAGTGTGGTGGTTATTTATTTAGTATTAAAGTTTATGTCCTGATACTCGGACCAAAAGAATTTATTTATTGATGAGATGTGGAATTGCAACGAAATAGCGAGATCTTTTGATTTCCGAAATATCGCCAACTGTATCCAGATTGTTGATCTATATAAAGGCCTTATCAAAAAACTTAAAGCCCGTCAAAAGACTATAAAATTGGCCCTTGGCATTGCTGAATCCAACGATCATGGTATATGTCAAAGTATAGCTGTCTGTTGAAAATCTACGGTATTAAAATCATACACCAAATATAAGTCAAACCATAGGTAGCCCAGACACACTGTGCGATTTAAATTTAAATGCTTGGCATACTTAATTACCCCCTGCGGTATCGATTTCAAAATAATAATGTTAACGATCAGCTCAAAAATATTCCGAATTTTTACACTAAAATGTATCACTAATCAAGCTTATCGTTGAAGGAAATATACTTAGGTACATAGCATGCGCATGCATCAACATAAATAGTTTATACCTTTAGTAGACACACTTGAAATCCAGCTTTAAATCATGACATTCACGGCGACGCGGCGGAGGAGGGGAAAGGAGACAAGGTTGGCAACATCCATTGGCCAAGCTGCACGTATCACCATAAACAAACCCGTCTAACTCAACAATACGGAAAGCTCAGCCGAAAATTCTAGAACAGCTGATAAAACAACTATCTTGCTTTCCAGCAATGTAGTCCTTTAAAAATTTGAAAGTTTCCCTTTGCA